AACAACATTATATTATAATATGACAATTTTCATCTTCAAGGTTGATAAGTAGAAACAAAAGTTATTAGGGAAAAGGTACTTTTTCGAAGTTGGTAAACAAGAGGTACACGTGTAGTTTGGATGTGTAATAGTGGTAGTGATGGAATTTAAGGTTGCCAAGAGGATTTTCCGGGATTTTTCAGGTTATAGATGATGATGTCATATTACATGAGCAAGAAAAAGAGAGTAGTAGCTGTGAAAAGTGAAGAAAATGGGTGAAATTCGTGGAAAATGGAGGTTTTCAGCTAATTACATATGTCAAATGACGTCAGAATAGGTTGGTAGATGGCTCATTCAACGCAGAAGAGTGGATTACATAATGTACAAACTTTAAATCATTAGTAACGGAGGTGTGTGTAAAAAGTTATAAGGCAAACAAAGAATTGGTGTGAATCTCGAATTTACAGTCACAAGTCACAAGTAACACCAAAAACCTTAACTTCACAACTCAATATCTTACTCATCACTCATCAGAAGTAGGTCATGTAGGTGTCAGAAATGATCAGTAACACGTGGGCTACAAGATGCACTTTAGTAATCAAAAATTGGAGCACATCTGAAAAAATTCGTAATCTCAAAAATTGGTTTTCAGCTAGTTTACAAGGAAAAAATCACCTGTATTCATCATAAGAAGTGCTGTACATCATATTATTGTGTCATTGATCACTTTTAGCTGTGAAAATTACATCATTTATTAGTAACAAAATCATTACATTGCGTCATCATAGGGTTTTTAGGGAATTTTGGGCGGATTTGATTGGTTTTGAGGCTGTTGACCATTGTAAAAGTTCTAGTACATTGTTATATATACTTTGAGAGGGTTTTGGGACTGTTGTTCCCCTTTTTTCTTTATCATTTACGCCATTATTATTTTGTTTATCATCATAAACTTATTTTAATAGTACCTGGTCACTTAAATACGCCCTTTATTACAGCTATAAAGAGAAATTTACTTTAGTATTATAGTCATAAAGACTTATTGGGAATAATATCAATCAGATATTGCTTATTTTCTTTAGTTATCAATTGGGAATAACACTATAGCAGTGTTGATAGTAATACAAAGTGTGCTTTTTGAAGTTAAAATACGTGTGAAGATACATTTCTCTGGTGCCTTATCAGTACTCAATACAACAGAGCTCTTTCTGATTGTGTTGTTTTAGAAGAGCAGTCCTTAGACAACTTCTACTAGTCATTATATTAGTAGATTATCCTCTTCCAGCTCTGTATAACCCTTGTTGGGTTATAAGTTCTACAACGTTCCATTGTCTTTGGGAGCATACTACCCCTTCAAGGTGTACAAACGTCGGCGGCCGCTGAAAACGTCCGTTCGCATGGACATGAAGTGGCAGAGACAGCTAGATAATTGCGGGCGAGGTTAGCTAGCGTTGGGAAATGTTGTTCATGATCCTGTGAATTAAGAATACAAAGCAAAATCAAACATAAAGAAATGCATGTCAGCTTCATGTCCAACTCACAAATAAAAAAAACTTGGGCCAACCTTCCACCAACCAAGCGGTGTCTGATCCTTTCTGACTGGGAAGCGCCCAGACATATATTCTTCCAGTTCAGACTTATGCGAAGTCTCTGCACCTTGGTTCGCCACCCCAAAGATGTCGAATTCATCTACCTCGGCATTATCATTGTTGTCGTCAGGTGGAGGGATTCCATTGCGTACCTGCGATGCTTCTATCTCAGTCGTGTAAAGAGTGTCAATTGCTGAAAGGGCCGAGGCTTCGTGCTCGGGGTAATGGACTGTAAAGAATTTCCCACGAAAGCAAGGATTGAGAATCGTCGCTAAAACTATGACTTCACAGTCCGCCGCCTCTTCTTGATACTTGGTAAGCCACTCAAGCATGATTTCGATTGAGTTGTTGAGACTGGGAAACGTGGACGCTTCGGCTTGATGAGACTTGAGCTTGGATATCACACGGCAATACTCTTGTAGCAATACACAGCCAGTAGGGCCATTTCCCTCCACACGAGAGGTGGCGTCAACAAAGGTCTACTCATTGTCAGTATATCACTTCAAATACACCAGAGGAAGATAACCTTGTTGACCATCTCAATGGCGTGCCATTCCTCAGGTGAGATTGTAACACCTTTAAAAAAACGTGCCTTCCTATCGGCCGCAATCATCGAGTTGATGATCTGTAAGTATGAATATATCATCAGTATAATTTATGAGAAAAATTGTTAAACAGATAAGTTGAAACAATAGAAAAAACAAGGAAGACTTACCTCTTGAGCCTCCAAAGCTATCTGTCTACTCTCGTAATGGCTGTTCCAGCGAGTCTTACAAGGGCATTTAAGCATTCGACCCTTGTAACCCATTCGAGTTGCACGCGTCTTGAAATCATTGCGGCGAGCCGCACTACTTGCAATTTGACCCGCGATAGTATCAACCTATATGAAAATGGCAAACGTATTAGCGCTGACATGTAGACAAAAACAAACCAGAAGGTGAAATGGGCAACGGTTACTTACCTTGACAAGGGCCAAAGCAACAAGATTGTTGGGCACCTCGTGAGATTGTTCTCCATCAGAACTATCATCCTCGTCATCGACTCCGTCAGGCTTCTCAGGTAGATCAGCGTCATTGTCTTCTGAGTCTGGATCATCAACTTGAATCTCGTTGTCGCCATCGTTGACCTCGAGAGCTGGAATGGAGAAAGCCACGTTCTTTGGAGTTGTCGGTTTCGGATTTCCTACCTTCTGACCTAGCGATTTCAATCCATGGCCAACTGTCAAGTTCAATTTGTGAGCATAACATCGGATATGATGTCCAGGAGCATTCCAATAGATTGGGTCTTCAGCATTCATGAACATGGTCTGCATCTCAGCAGCCATTGGACCGTTGTTGCCTCCACTGTCCGTGGTCTGGGCTAACATGTAAGTAATTTAAAGAAATGGTATGAGTTGAAAGATAAAAAGAAAAGAAATAAGATCGAAAAAAAAGCAAGTCCAAACTCATCTTCTTGTGAAGCCCGTGTCGAATCAAGAATAGGCCGATTGGTCTTGCAAGAAGAGCCCCGAAGTGTCGCCATGCGACCATTTTGAGAGTAAGGTGTGTTGATCGATATTCCCATGAATTGTCAATGTAATTTGCTGAGGCACCCACAAAGGCGTACCGGTTGCCTTTCGTGGTCCATACATCATGGATCAGGCAAAACTTGCCTTTGTTTTGCTGTTGACATGCCAAAAGAAAGGCAAAACAAATGAGAAAGATGTCAAAATGGACCGGAAAGATGAAATGAAGTGACGTACCTTGAGATTTTCAATCACCTTATTGTGCAGCCTGGCAAAAAGATGAACGGATTGCTGTGCTGCCCAAGTCTTTGACCGGACCACAGCACCACGATTCACACTGCTGAATGCAGCTTGTAGAAGCGGGTCTTCGAATCGAACCCAAGGTAGAGCGTGCCTGACTACCCACATGACTAGGATCATGTTGACGAGATTCGCTGAAAACTTGGGTCCAGAAAGATATGAGTCCAAGTTCGAAGACTTTCCTTGCTTCTCTTCAATCTTCTCAGCTTGCAGTCGTTCTTGGTATGAAGGGGGAAGTTTGACACCCGCAGCAATCGCTTTGTGTCGGTTCGGGCATTGAGGTCGACCTTCACTGCCATCGCGATGGCGCCAAAGACCCCAGAATGATCAGTCCCCGGCAGTGTATGACTTAGGACACCATTTACACTTGTACAGTTGACCCTAGAGAAGAAATACAACTTCAGTCAGCCATGTTGAACAGAAAGAGACGGTCAGTGATATAATTACTTTAGGCTTATGATAATACACTACCAGCATAAAGTAATTTTCCCCAGTAAAAAATGAATACATTTAGAGCAAAAAATGATTGAAAATGCATTTAATCAGCATTTAATCAGCAATAAATCAGCATTATTCAGCATGAAATCAGCATTATTCAGCATGAAATCAGCATTATTCAGCATGAAATCAGCATTATTCAGCATTAAATCAGCATTATTCAGCATTAAATGAGCATTCTTGATTAAAAAATGCATTAAATGTAATTGTTTTTTCCTTGGGAAATATACCTTTTGCTGGGAGTGATACATAAGCAGGTCCTCGACACGGGCTGATCGAACTGCGTTGTAGCCGGTTCCAGGTTTGCTCTGACTAACAAACTCAACATCAGAATCTTGATCGAGGTCCACCTGCTCTGGGACCTCGAAGGCCTGAAGATGTCAACCAATTATTAAATCAATAGTCACATGGGATATTCAATCAAGAGGTGAGAGCTTTACTTACATCTATTTTGTCTGATTTGTTTCTCTTAGATGAATGAGGTGATGTTGTGCCTACACTGCCCGATGGTGAACGGGCACGTTTGCTAATTGAAGAACGTACCTAGACAACAAATCCAAAACATAACATTTGTTTTTCAATATTGATCGAGAAACATACTGATTAGAATAAGAAAACTCACTTTTCCTGCTTGCGAGGTAGGTTTTGCATTACACCACAAACCCCCCAGAATGGTTTCCCAACCGGCGCTGAGCAACCGCTGAGCAACTGATATTTTTGGCTGGGCAGGAACATTCTGAAAAGGCGCTTGTGCCAACTGGTCCACAGCCGGCTTTTTCAACATCGACTGTGACCCACCTCTCCACGGTTAACCAACGGTTGCTAGGCAAATTTCCCAGTGTTTTGTTTTGCTCGCTTTCGATTCATTTGCTCGCTTGTGACTCATTTGAACTGGCATTAAAGCTGTCTTGTGTTTTCAACCTTTTTTGAGTTACATTACTAAGCAAACAAAGATAACATAATACCAACAGTTGTTTGACTACAATAATTTTACAAACTGTGCAACTATTGAAACAGAATAATGATAAAAATGAAATGATGAAATGAAATAAATAATACAACCTTGCCTTGATACAAACACATGAATAGAGGAGGAACCCCATTGAGTATTCTATAAATAAACCAACTTGCACTCACAAGTCTTCCTCTTCATCATCCTCTCCATCCTCTTCTTGCTCTTCATCATCCTCTCCATCCTCTTCTTGCTCTTCATCATCCTCTTCTTCTTCTTCCTCTTCTGGTTCATCCTCTTCTTCATCTTCCGGTCCAACGGGTTCATTTACCTCTTCAACTGGGTCATTTTCCTTTTCTACCGAATGTTCTTTATCCTCTATTGGTCCCGGCAATTGATGTGCCGCCTCATCGGGCGCTAACCTTGTTCCAAAGGTCTTGTCGAGTTCCTTCATCACCTTTTCGATGCGATTATTGCTAGGCAGGGAAAAGTCGCAGTGTTTTTTGAGTTCGTCAAAGGTCTTCTCCCAGGTGATGCGGTCAAAGTCATCTTGCAACACTGCGGTAAAGTATCTGGAATGCATCAAATTTAGTCAGTAAATGATCATAATTCAATAAAAAGTGAAATCATTTACGCATAACGGTACCTTGTGGTTTGACCACGTAAGAACTCCAAATGAGCATCTACAACCTTCCAAAAGGAACGGTTATTGTATCGGTCGCGCCCTAGTCCCCAGTGGCAGACTTGCATTCTCTGGATTCATAGAATCAGTTATACGCACAGCAAATCATCTTGACAATCTAAAGAAAATCAACTTACCAACCAAGCAAATCGAGCCTCTTGGATGTGGTCCAATTTTTCCACAATTTCCTCACGAACAATTGGGCCACCAACAAAAACTTTTTTCTTTTCTTGAAGCTAGTCATCCATCAGAGGAAGAGAACGGAAGAAAGCCAGAAACAGTCTTAGTAATCTTTGTGTTGCACATAATCAAAGATTTCGAAAACTCACTTTGACTATCATGACCTCAAGTAGTGGGACATTTCCGTAAGGTGGGTTGCTTTTTCGGTTTGGAAGGTTGATCTCAGTCAGGAGCTGCCAGAATAAGTCAGACATATAAAAACATTAGATATCAAAGGAACAAACAGGACTCACAGTTTCTTCAAACGACTTTCGGATATCTTTCAAAATTTTGTTGATAGCCTTTTGGAATAAGGCTGTATGTCGAGGATCCGGATCAATACCGTATGCCGGTGGAAGGAGCCGTTTCTTCCACTTGGTTGGTTTTGATAAGATCAAAGTCTGACCATGTTCTCAGTAGGATCGTATTCAGGAGAAAGCTTGAGTTCAATTACAAACTTACCATGGTTTTCGCATACAAGGACCGAGGAAGTGTCTCCTGTTTGCCAAGTGTGTCTCGAGTGGCGGTATATGCTTGCACATCAGGACTTGTAATGCAATTAGTTGCAATCAACCGTATGCATTGCTGACATAGAATATTGCCCAGAAAGAAGAAGATGAAAAGGTTAGCAATCACTTGAATAAAAATTTACAATTCAATAGACTTACTCTGAGTTCGTATGAGTCTTCCCAGTTGTCAGTGGTGTCAGTAGTCATGATTGTCCTGCCTCGTTTTGATTTGGTTTGGCTGAATCCATTTGAGGATTGTACTTTAAGCTCCTCAATCAGGTGTAGTGTTTCTTGGCGAGCTGAAGACAATTCTGAAAGGATTTCTTGACGAACCGAAAGCATAGTGACTATGCAGGCATTGAATTGGTTCTCGCCCCCAGCCACCTGCAACAGGACGATAAATGGTGAAAGATAGCCATTTTGAAGTGTGAAACAGGAAAACTGACGTTACATATTTGCCGGCCCAAAGTTTTATGATGCTCATCAAGCTGAGCCTGACTTGAGAGATTGTTGAAGGAGGCTAACTTAAAACCAGTCATGTGGGTCGAGTCAGCATCATCGCCATGTTTGTGTTCCCCTGTAATGATAGAATACAATCAGTTTCACTGATCTTCAAATTCGTCCTGAAATAAAATTTACAGTGATCATCATCTTCATGAATGCGACTGCTGTCTGCTTCATCATCGTGATTGAATTGAGATAAATCGTCATAAAGTGGTTCTGCTTGTACGGCCTTGCCCTTTGGTAGGTGCTTGCTCTTCGATAATGTAAGCACAGGATTTTCTTTGATTGGAGGTTGATCGTTGGTTTGAACTGTTTGAACTGATGGCTTCTTGTTCTTCTGTAAGTTCGTAGCTTTTTGTGATTGATCTTTCTTCGTTTCATTGTTGTCGTGGTTGTTGTTGGTGCTTGGTACTGATGGTAACTTCTTGCTCTTCGGTAAGTTCTTAGCTTTTTGTGATTGAGTTGTAGTCTTCTGAACTTTGCTCGTGGACGGTGTGGGTTGACGAGGTCGATTCCTCAATCTTGGTCCGATCTGTGGAGAAGCTGATTCATTGGGACTTTTACGGCCGGGGTATGGCTCATATCGAATGCGTCGAGACATTGAACTGTGGTGGTGGTGGTGGTGGTGGTGATCAAGTGATCAAGTGTGAGATGATCAATCTTGATCAAAGTCACCGTGAGGCTGTGACAGGAGCTGTGACAGGAGCTGTGACATGTGGACATGGAAATGGGGACAGTGAAATGGGGACAAGTCGTTTCATTTGGATGACCATTGAGCACCACCACATCCAATTGATCTGACAACACGGCAGAAATATGAAGGAGTCTTTCAACAAATATGAAGGATTCTTTCAACATGTCATTAAACAAATACTATCATACAAAGTACAACAAAACAAATTTTGAAAGAAAAAAAACAAAATCGAATGGAAAGAAAAAGGCCAAGATACAAATCATTACGATGATGGCCCCTGCAGCGCATTTGGCTGAGATTTCTTCTTTGTTCTTCTTCTCTTGGCGGCAGGTCGGCCTGATTCTTCAGCTAAAAATTTATCTTTTTCTTTCTGACGTTTTTTTTCTTTGGCATCATCCTTCTTTTTAATTGTATCCTTCCAGTTCTTTATCCCGGTCTTGACTGCATCAGTCCAATTGTATGGACTGACTCCGACACATGGAAGCTGAGCCCAGCTCCGATGCAATTCGGCAGAATAGAAAGAACCCGAGTTGAGAATAAAATGAGATGTTTGAACATGCGCCACTAAATGATCCATTCCTCTTGACACACGTCGTTCAATCATGATGGGACGTGTCTTTTCAACATTACATTTGCTCTTGTGACAGTCATGTTGCATATTAAGTATACCTTCAATGTCCTAAAATTGAAAAGCAAGTCAGTATTTGTTTTTTTCAAAGAGGTGTTAATGCTTCTTACTGAAGCATTGATCCATGTTGCTGTGTCAGTCACCTCAATCTCGCGCATACCGTAAAAGGGATCCACCATTCCTAAACAACATTGCACTGCCTCGATCTTCGTTTGCCGTAAGCTGTGTCCTCCAACACCCCAAACCCTTTTTACCCAAGCAATCTTTCGTGTTGAAGAATGTTTTACTGAGACAAAGACATTGGTGATGACCTTTTGTTTGTTTTTGAGAGTGACACCGGTCAATACTTTCCAATTCTTAGCTGTATAAGCGTTGTATAAAGATGTTGGAATTATTTTTAGTGGTTCGTTTGGTTGTATTTCATGAGTCTCTGGAACATTGAGATATGATCAGTTGATCAGTTAACTAGTGAAAAATGATTGTTGCTAGATGATTCACTTACTTCCAATTCCAATTTCGCATTCCCTATTCCATTCCGCATTGTAACCTAAAGCCTTCTGAAACAAACAATTATTACAAAAAATGTCTTGTACCTTTGTACTTGCCTTGAAGAACGTCTGAGCCTCTTTGTCGAATATCATAGATCCTGCCGTCAAAGCCCGCATCAATCTGCGATCATTAAAAGCGTTGGCAATATCTCTTCCAGGACTGAGATGATTTGAGTGAATTGAGTTATTTCGAGTGTTTCCGTTATATGATTCAAATTTCTCGGTCGCAAAAAGGCAAGCTGGCCCAAATTGTCGAATAGTGTCACACAATTGAATTAACATGTGAAACTTGGGCTTATTGCACCACTGAGCAGAGAGTTTGACAATCAAATGAAGAAATTTCTGGATAAGTTTGTCAAGATCCCGGATGTATGTTTTCATGTCAGTTATCTCAGTCTGAAAGATGTAAGGTGCCAAATTAGAGATTGCCTGCCATGTTTGACACTCTTCAGCTGATAAATTGTCTCCGCCAAAGAATATGAAGGGCGCGGCTCGAAGTACCACGCGGAAGTCTTTCCCTGTGAGACTGAGAAAGTGTTGAATCATACTTTTTGGTTGTATAGGAGGAATATTCAACCCTGAGGTGTTGAAAGATCTCCAACGGCCCCATATCTTCTCCTTCTCTTTCGCCGAGCAGTTTTGCATATGATGACGTAAGAGATATTTTGCAACCCCTAGTAAGATCACGTGCAATATCTCCACTGGTGTGTCTCGATGGCCATTGAAACCTGTTTCCCGTGATTCAAACGGTTTGATTGTCAGTTCAAGGAAAAATTAAGAAGAAAGTAAGAAAGACTGACCATTTAACCTTAGGAAAGGGTTGAAAAGTCGCATACCAAACTCTGCATTCAAGTCACGGCACACTTTAGCCACTTCTTCTTTTGAAATCGTTACATTTTGATGCATATCTTGAACCTTTTTGACAAATATCATGTTCAGAGTATCTCTCAGACCCAGCAGAGCTGATCGACTGTCAAAAAGAGAAAAGTTGCCTGGCCGTTGTGCAATTTCCCAAAGATCCTTTGATCCCTGCACCGTAGCTGACCAGTCCCTATTTGGCGCAGGGGCCTGGATAGGCATAAATACAGCCCAGTCAGTAATTAGATAAATTCAATGAGAATCTTGACAATTCAATGCAGAACTTACCGGATTTCCAGCCTCGTCTATTCCAAGAAAATCACAGACATATTTAGTTGAGCGTTTATCGACCTTCGAGTGCACCTTAAGGTTGCAAATACGAAAAGGTGTTAAGGAACTTGTTGGATTCATGGTGTTAGTCACCTCGGCATGCATCGGCGAGTCTCCTAAGTGGCAGAGCACGCTGGTCATCACCAACACTTTGGCTTTTATCTTGGGATCATAAGCGACACAGCCTTCCGAACTCAGTATGCTGAATGATTATGAGACACTTGTCAGAAATACAAATCCAAAGACTTCGTAGCAAGTAAGCTTACTTGATTGAGTCAATTAAGGGATCCGCCAATTCCAATGCACCTGCGGTGTTCGAAGTCGTCAGGAAGTGGCAATTGTACTCTTGGTTTGCAAGTTTTGGTGGTAATCCTGCCAATGTGAAGTAAAATGCGATATGTTTGTTCCATCGCTTCGAGATGTTTCCTGAAAGGTCGTCGCAGTACAAAACAAGAGGTACATTTCAAATGATTTTCCCAGCTGCTTTTGTGCGCCATCTATTAACTGCAGGCCATTCACAGAACGTCTCGCCAGTGCCCGCTGATATGAAGCTTGCTTAGTAATCACCTATTGTGCATCAAGATCTACTTACTCACCATATATTACATCAAAGCAGTGATCTTTGATGAGGTCACCCTCACCTTTTTCGATCGTATCGTATGTTCGCCAGAAAGTATCAACATTGATTGATGATAACAGGTCCGAGTTGAAATCTCGGGGTGCTTGGAATTCAATCCGAATTCTTGATGGATCATTTGAACACCTTTTGGTCTTTGCATTCACACACCTAGCAAACACATGAATTCCTGAACGATAAAAGAAAAACGGAACTACGAGCTTTTTGGATTCTAGTTGAACTGGTTCAAATAGATAGAAATGACCATGAGCCCGGTCAACCATCTGTACCCTTAGTTCTGGATCCATCGATTCTCGCCATTTCTTTGACTGAGAAAGGCAATTGATTGTGGTTGACCCGCTTGGAAGGACAGGTATGAACTCAATGAAGTCCCTGACGTATGGATTGGCAATTTCCTATGTAGATAAACACAAAGGCATTATTATCATAAGTATCATGGTATATTCTGGTGTTTGCTTGCCTGCTTCAATATATCCTGTAACTGTAGCCCAAAACATGGTTTTCCCAAAGGGCTGAGTGTCTCAGAGACTCCAAATTCATATTTTTGCTTGAACCTTCGGCGAAGTTTTTTCACCGTTTTGTACGCAGGGCGCTTGACCTTGAGGAGACCCACAAACCAGCGCACGCGCTCGTAGGCTGACAAGGACATTGTTGTCCTAGTTGATCCAAGAATTGACAGACCGACCAGCTGCTGTGGTGTTTCATGTCAAACATAAGAAACAATATCAATTTGGTGACGGTAAAGGCAGTCAAGCGCAAGTGGGAACATGCCTCTAAGCTAGAAAAAGGAGCCCAAGAAGAATCATCCGTGTCCGAAGCGCAAGAGGATCTATCTGACGAAGGCTCCTGACCAAAACTGTTGTTGGAGTCTTCGGAGCTTTCAGTATCTGGTTCAACACGATCTGAATCAGAACTCTGATCGCCATTGGCTTGGTCTTCATCATTAACACTGTGAGACGGAGATTTGAAAAGCGATGTGTGATCTTTAGTCCAGAGATCTACCAGCGCTTGCCGGTGCTGGCTGCGAAAATGATCCACATTGTTGTCATCTTCTGGGCCAATAGAATCAATACTGGTTTCGATTTCAGTCTCGGTATCAGTTTGCTCATGATTCTCAAAGACCTGCGTGTTGTTGTTGTTGTTGTTGATATCGAGAGGGACTGAGTGTGCAGCAGTGGCAACCTGCTCTGACACCCAAGTTTCAAAGTGATTCTGGTGGCTCGCAGTGTTCAGATGCTTCCGGATTGTGCTTCGTTGCATCGTTCGGCCATTAGTACACGCCAGACATGTAAAGGAAGCGCTTCCTTCTTCCAGTTGGACGATGCCTAAGAACCACGGTTTTCAAACATTTGACTGTGAGCATGAAAGTTTCTGATTGATAATATTCGAAAGGCTTGACATTTCTCCGGGTTGTTCATTCTGAAGGTTTGGTGTTTGTCAAATACCAAATGATGGATACGATGATTGATTTGGATCGAGATCAATCAATAAATCAACGGAGTGAGACGAGGAAAGTTGTTGAAGGCAGCATAAAAGACTCAATCGATGGAACGAGACTTCCTTCAATGGAAACCCTTCAGCGGCTGGAGTGTTCATCATCCAACCGCTGGAAACGAAGAAAACCCATCAGCGGTTGGAGTGTTCATCATCCAACCGCTGGAAACGAAGTATGAATCCGCTGGGTTTGGGCACCAGCAGGTGAGCTATGTGTGCTCACGGAGAGTCGAAGGACTTGTGGGACTACGGATGACCACCAATCTGTTGTGGTTGAACAGCTGTACTCAACAACAACCGGATCAAATTTGAAAAACCCGGATCTTCAACAGCTACCCACCGGGGTTTAACCCGGGGCACAACCGTGTGATTCGACAACCCCCTGACACCCGTTTTTTAACAAAGGGGGGGT